ATTCACACTATGAATCTGGCAATAGCATTGCAAACCATTATCCAATTCAACCTCCAGACATCTTGTTCTTTTTTAATTCATTGTCTTTGTCCGTCAATTCTATTGCAGCTCTGTAATACACTGATAAAAGGTTTGCGGTACATTTTTGTATGTATTATGAGTGCTTTTTCCTCACTGCTCAGACTAATTTGTGAGTGGGAATTTAAAGGTAAAAGCTGATAGAATGGCAGCTGTCCTTTTAACCTGGCATCCTTTTCATTGATTGGATAGATACGATGGCAGTTCCATTGTAATAGCCTGCTGATGTGTGTAATCTGGGACTGGGTGACCTTTACAGGGGACACGTGACCTTTACAGGGGACACCCTACCTCCTTCCCCTCCTGCCCTACACAACCAGCCACACTCACACACACACATATCCATCAGTCAAGGAGTATTAATCCTGTGTTAGCATTCGATCACCAGGCCATATGCCGTACCATTTGAAAGTGAAATTGACAGGTAATGTGGCACAAATGGTTCCCTGATATTCCATTACAGAGACATTGTTTTAATGAAACATTTGACCTTTTATCAGAACAAAACCTCTAAAGCATGATGAATACAGCATAATCCTATACATAATTCATCTACCGACACAAACCCACGGCAAGAGTGGATTCATAAAACCTTAGAGAATCACGAACTTTGTGAAAAAAGTTAAGAAATCTATTTGAATCTTTAACTAAATCAGTATTAGGTTATGAATGCATCTCCTGCCTCCAGGTCATCTGAATGTGCAGAGTGGGTTTAATGTGTGATCTGATCAGACTGTAATTTTTCAGAAATGAAATCCCCTCAACCTCCTTCTACCTGACTGGGGTTTTTACACCTGAGAGACTATTCACAATATCTTTGTCCGAGAGTAGAATCTCCTCATGAAAGACTGAATGGCCTTCGAGTCGAGTCTTTCTGCATTCACTCATAACTGAGTGTCCATAATTCTGCTTTAGAAAAGGTGACTGGCCTATTATGTTTCCTGTCCCCTGTACATTACCAAACGTTGGACATGCTCGACTGGGGTTACATTTCCCTTAATGCTTTAATTAACTCTACCCTAATAACTTAGAGATTTGTATTATTATGCAGCACAATAAGAGCAAGTTCTGCGCCCCAATGGTGTAATTCCAACATGCCTGAGTTAGAACAGTGTCGGCCGGAGGGTTGTACAAATCGTGTCGTATTTTCACCAAAAGCTCCACACACGAGTCACGACTGGTCATTTTAACGGATGCAAGTGGACACTTCTTAACATCAATAGAACAACTTTTAAACTTTAAAAATAGTTTGTGACCATTTATTAGATTCCCGTTTGCCAAATAACCTCATGTCAGTTCCTTGACAAACTTAGTTTTTACTTGTTTGTTGTTTGCAAAGGTCTTCAGCTGCACTTCTATGTGAACTTCAAGTTCCCTTAAACAACAGCAGTGACTTTGAATTAAGACTCGCTCTGTGTCTGTCTTTTGGAGTAAAAACCTCTTCTACATCCACACAATTATTCTGTGTCTACCAACGTTTCTTCATAGAGCCATATCCCTGTACTTGCACGCATGCACACACACGTACACATTTACATAAACACACACATTACTGGACTCAGTCACCGCTTTCCTTGCCTGGATGGCTGTGTAATTGAGTTTTGGGGAGCAGTGGCAGCCTGGCATTTCCTCTCTGTGTGCATGCTCCACTCATAGAAGCCTAATTGGGATTAGTGCAGCGTTTTATTTGGGCATTGTTAACCCAGCCTGTGGTCAATGCCAATGTCGGGTTTGTTCTTCTTCCAAACTCCAGGACAAGGAGGAATTTCTGTGTTAATGTGTTTCAGTATGTGTATGCTTTTGTCTTCTGTTGTTGGAATACATGCCTACATGTCTTGCCAATGTCAGGGTTACCTATTGTGTATTTGACATTGAAGTAGGCCAGGGAATGGTGTTTGGGGATTCATGATTCCATTATGATAAAGCAGACATAATTAAAGAGGAAATATCATGCAAAATACACTTTTGAACGTCTTTTATACATGAATATGTGTCCCCGGTGTGTCAGGGAACTCACCAAGTGTCAGAAAACACAACCCTCTCTCTTTTCCTCCATACCCGAATCTCTAAAAACGGGGCTGCAACAGATCTGATACAGATTTGAAAATTCTCTGACGTCAGGAACGAGGAGCTCCGCCTATATGGCCAACTCTCCACCAATCAGGGGAATGTGGGGTTGGGCCACAGCCGGCCATTGCCGCTCGAAAGCGCTGGAGACGCTGTAGTACATATGCCAGGCCTGTAGGTGGCGCTGTAGTCTGCCACAAAAGCAGCGAAGAAGACTTCTCACAGAATCAGCCCCTGCAAAAACAGGGCTGGAAAAGAGCAAATAGAGCGAAATGAGGCATGGCTAAAATACAGGATCTGTTTGGTATTTTGAAAAAAAAGATGATAATTAGCCTGAAAAAATGAAAACTGAGCATAGACATGAGGCTGGAGAGGACTATCTGTTTTTACACAGTAAAAATACTAGGCTATTTTAACCTATTTAAATCAATGATAAATTGAGCTGCCATCAAATAATGTGCAATGTGGGAATGTGCTCTCTTAATTAACTCAATATTCACTGACTCTCTACTCTTCACTTGCCATCCTAATAAAAGCCTCATTATTTTGTCCCATGTGTGATAACTTTTCTCGACCTGTAAAGATTAATTGTAGTTCAGAAAGTTACATTTACTTTGTCACGCAGGAATGTAAGATTTTGTTCTTCTTGGTCCCTTTCACACATAATCAAACACAAAAGTCTGAATATGGCAGTGGCGAACCGTGTCTATCACAACTGGACCTTCTGTAGACACACACACACGCAACACACGCACACACACACACACACCCGCCGCCGCCGCCGCCCCCCTCCCCTCCGCGGCATTATAATGTCCGTCTTTTCACTGAATTGTCGTCTTGAAAAGGGTACTCACAACAATTCCGCAACAACTTCATCTTCACCTGTTGCACTTGTCATTTCAACGTTAAAAACAATAAAACGGCATGAATTGCTTCGTCGCATTAATCTAGAATAGATCCTCTCTCTCGAGCCAGTTAACAGCGGGCCTCGAGTACCCTGGAACCGAGGGAAACTCTGAAAGAATACGCCCATTGGCTACAAATCAATATATGATTGGTTGATCAAACTGTCAGTCCAAACGTACGCTCTCATTCAGTGCAACGGCCAGGGCATTCGATCAAGGGTGTAGAATACCTTGGTTGAAGGATATTCTACCCAGAGACCCAGAACAAGATCTGATTGGTTGCTTTCTTTTCTAACACAAAACCACTGAAATGCGTAGTGCATGGTCCGAGAAGGACAAACAAATCAACGTAACACTGTAATATTACAGATCAACAACACAGATACCATTCTCATTTATAGATTTTATTTATATAACTAAATCAATTTTTTGTTTGTTTTATCTGAGTGTTCCAGGGTATTCTCTGAATACCTTGAAGGCCCTGACGGTTCGCCTCTGGAATATGGCAATGTGTTGGCTTACAATAAAATTAAAATAAACCATTATCATGTGAAGTACAACATGTCAATATTGGGATTAGCTTTTAATCAATAGCATAGATTTGGATTGTTAACATGAAGTCACACACTGTGGTTTAAGGGTGTTCCTGTGCCTCTCCTCTATTTCAGTCTTTTTCTTTTCAGAGAAGGGCTCATTTTATCAATCCATTCATCCAGCTATCAGTCCAATCCGGTAACCATGGGTTGAATTACAGTTGTGTAGGTCTGCCGCTGCCAATCCATCAGGTGAAAGTGAACATTTGTTATCCTGTTGCCTGTCTGTCCGCCTCCCTGTGTGTGGATGGATGGATGGGTGCAGCAGGCGGAGCTTGTTTTGCCACGGCTAAGATCCATCACCAGGGAGGAAAAGCTTTCCAACTTAAACAGTTGACATAAATCTTTGCTGAAAACGTTATTCACTGCCAAAATAAATCTAATCCCTACATTTTATGAAATCATGCATTTTACTCAGAAAAAGTAGATGCTTATAATTAAGTTAAATGACAGTTGCCAAAAAGGATGAACATGACTGATGAATCCGCTGTAGGATTTGATGAATCAACTCAATACATTTAGACACACATAAAAGCTAAAATGCTAATATTTGATCACACACAGCTTAAAGGTGACCTATCATGCAAAATGCACTTTTGTACGTCTTTTATACAAGAATATGTGTCCCCGGTGTTCCAGCGAACTCACCAAGTGTCAGAAAACACAACCCTCTCTATTTTCCTCCATACCCAAATCTCTAAAAAAGGGGCTGCAACGGATCTGATACAGACTGATCCAGATTTGAACACTTCTGTGACGTCACAGAAGTGGCGCTACGGCTATTGGGCCAACTCCACCAATCAGGAGGAGACAGCCACGGACATTGCCGTTCGAAAGCGCTGGAGACGCTGTAGTACATATGCCAGGTCTGTAGATGGTGCTGTTCTCACAGAATCAGCCCATGAAAAGACAGTGTTAAATTGAGCGAAATGAAGAATGGCTAAAATGCATAATCTGTTTGGTATTTTGAAAAATAAAAAGTATAAATATACCTTATATAGGTATGGTCCCACACTATATTATTCAAATATAGCATGATAGGTCCACTTTAAATTAAGTTTAATATGATGCATTCACTGTTAATTTTAAGATTTTGGGCTATTTCGCCTGGACTAGTGATTAGTTAAAATCTAATAAATCCACATGTGTCTGTAGATTTCTCCTAAATTCACCAAAAGTTAACATTAATTAAGACCTCATTTACATATTCAAGCATAACATGTCAGAAAACATGTAATACACAAAAGTATTGTGTTAATGTTAGTAATGAAGTGGGGAAGTTTCATCTGTTAGTTCAATATTTGACCCCGTTCTCCTGCAGTGTCTTAATGTTGGCGGTTATTCCCAAAGTGTTTACCTGCGGCGGAGCCTGACGCTGCGCTGTTGGTTCTCCTCGGAGGCGGCGCGCTCAGAGGCGTGATTTCATGGACGAGGAGTTTTGGTGCGGGCATCGAAGGCGACGACTCGATCTCCAGGAACTTTACAAACATCTCTGAGAAGGACTGCAACAACAACAAAGAGAGGAAAGTGTGAACGGCTGCTGAAATACGGAGGACAACTCTGCTTCATTTCTTACACAAGGAGTCCAAAATGAAGAGTAAGATTCAGAATAACTTCCTGGGAAAGAAATGGTGAAGAAAACATCTACTATGGTGTATCGCAGAGGTGAGCATTGGGATAACAACCCTGGCAAAAACTGACATTAACTGAGATGTAACTCAAATGCACCTTTTTTTTCGTTTAAAATGAATGTTTTTTACTCCGAGGAACCACATCTCCTCACTTTGCAAAGCTGGATCAACCCCATGAGACTTTCACATTGTAGAGCAAGTCTGGTTATCAACAAGTACTAACAATAAACAATATAAATACACCTATTTACATTCATAAAATCATAAAGATAGGTACATGATAACTGGCACTACATTAGGAATGTAAATTAAAAAAAAAAAATCACTCGGCAGAACCAAAAATAATAAAAAAGTATTTATTAACAATTATTTTTTGTTAAATTGTTAGTTAAATGAAATACTATGAATCTAGTGGCACCAACTTGTTTTTTCCATATTCCCAATTCATGGTGACGTCAAAATGGTGATTTAGATTAATGGTACAGACATATTTCCCCGTGTGCATATTATTATCTCTTCTCCTGTTTTCACTCTGGACGTTTCCTTGTGAAAGCATACAGACCCCGAGTGCTTTGTTTCTCTATAAATGAAGGGAAGTTATGCTGTAGCCGGTCTGTGATAACTCGCTGAAAGAGAGTCCTGGGAAGTGTGGTGTTTGTCCAATATACAACATAAATCAGTCAGAGCCATTACAGCGTTTCTCTGGGCTTTGCAGCCTTTTGGGTGGGGCGGGTTTGTTGGTCTCTCCTCAAAAGTAATTGTGATTTTACATTATTTTGCACCATTATAACTATAGATAGACTGAAATAAGGTCTGTGGTTATCACAAGCTCAACACACTTTAATGTTTTGTTCTACGACATAAAATACGTCAGTAAATACCCCACTGGTGGATTTAAAAACGACGGTTGCTAACAAGGGTCTAAATGAGACGACTAAATGTCATCACGCCCAACATTAGCCGCCTTTAGCTTAGCGGTGGAGACGTGAAGTCATGTGATCGTGCTGTGGTTCCTTTATAGCCCAACATTAGCCGCCTTTAGCTTAGCGGTGGTGACGTGAAGTCATGTGACCGTGCTGTAGTTCCTTTATAGCCCAACATTAGCCACCTTTAGCTTAGCGGTGGTGACGTGAAGTCATGTGACCGTGCTGTAGTTCCTTTATAGCCCAACATTAGCCGCCTTTAGCTTAGCGGTGGTGACGTGAAGTCATGTGACCGTGCTGTAGTTCCTTTATAGCCCAACATTAGCCACCTTTAGCTTAGCGGTGGTGACGTGAAGTCATGTGACCGTGCTGTAGTTCCTTTATAGCCCAACATTAGCCACCTTTAGCTTAGCGGTGGTGACGTGAAGTCATGTGACCGTGCTGTAGTTCCTTTATAGCCCAACATTAGCCACCTTTAGCTTAGCGGTGGTGACGNNNATCATGCTATTTTTAGGCATATATTATGGGTCTTTTAAAGGTGACCTATCATGCAGAATGCACTTTTGAACGTCTTGTATACATGAATATGTGTCCCCGATGTTCCAGGGAACTCACCAAGTGTCAGAAAACACAACCCTCTCTATTTTCCTCCATACCCAAATCTCTAAAAAAGGGGCTGCAACGGATCTGATACAGACTGATCCAGATTTGAACACTTCTCTGATGTCACAGAAGTGGCGCTACGGCTATTGGGCCAACTCCACCAATCAGGAGGAGACATCCACGGACATTGCCGTTCGAAAGCGCTGGAGACGCTGTAGTACATATGCCAGGCCTGTAGATGGTGCTGTTCTCACAGAATCAGCCCATGAAAAGACAGTGTTAAATTGAGCGAAATGAAGAATGGCTAAAATGCATAATCTGTTTGGTATTTTGAAAAATAAAAAGTATAAATATGCCTTATATAGGTATGGTCCTACACTATATTATTCAAATATAGCATGATAGGTCCACTTTAAAGCAATGTACTGATACTACTGTATCAAAGAAAACAGGAGGTAATGTGATAATGTAGCGTGACAGTCAACAGCTCTTCCATAACTCCTTTGTCAATTAAAACTACATTAAATGGATCACTTATTGGATTGAAAAATGATTAGACAGAGATCAATGGTTGTTAGCTGTTTATGGGTTTGATGAGGATCAATTTGCAAAAATAAACAAATTAGGCGCTTTATATTTAATTCACCCGCAGAGTGCTGACATCTGTCATCTGCAGGAAATGCAGAGCGGTGTAAAAATGATGGACAACATTAAGATTAACAGCCAGGTGATCCTCTGCAGTATTGTATCTGCACTGATCCTTTGATGAGGCTGTGTTTGGGTGTTATCAGTTTTGGCTTTTACAGTTTTTCTTCTAAGTGTTTTTTCTCCGGCCTTTCTCCTTTTATTTTCTGAAAAAGAGACACCGACAGTTTACCTTCCTCTGCGCCTCTTAGACTTGAGCCGAGCAAGGTTTTAAAAGCTCTCTGATGAGAGAAAGAAAAACCTTGGACTTGCTCATTACTGAAGAATCTCACCATCCAGCGCAGGCATCAAAGAATGTTCCAAATTGCCTCCTTAATACCTCTAAATCCACACCAGCACCTCTTGCTGCCCTACTTCGGTTCAGCAAACTATTTACTTCACCTTGGAATTAACTAGAACTCCCAGATCAGATGTCTTGCTGGTGGTATTCTTATTTGCAGATTCACAATAATTCCTATTGTCTTGTCGGAAATTGTGTTTATTTTCATATTTTCTTTTAAAAGTTACAGTCTGGTCCTTCAAGCTTTCATTTGTATCGCTTCATGATTTAAACATAATTTCAGAGTGACGACTAAAATCAACCTGATTTATTTCTACTGTCCAGAGATTGTCTTTTTTGCCACAATGCAAATAATCTGCCCCAGTTCAAGTGTACCTTAATAGTAAGATACTTTCCCCTGCTCATAAACCCTTTTCTTCGTGGTCTTTTGTATTATTAGCTAACAGCAAGGAGGTTTTATAACAACACCTCATCGATTCTCTTGACTGTTTTCATATTTGCTTCCTCATTAAATGTATTCCATAACATTTATATCCACACAAGCTTACTTCCTTTACATGCTGCCTCCTCAATTGTAATATGCACTACGCGGATTATGTGCATGTTGAAAGAACTCAAGGGTAATAACCCCTGGAAAAAGTGTTCACAGAGCAATATTTTCACCAGAGAGAGAGAGAGATCATTATTATTCAGAAAACCACTGTAGTTATGTTCTTTGGGAAGTTGGAGCCTTTTTGATCAACTGGAAAGCTATTTACAGCATGCATAGTCTTAGAGGAGTCCTAAAATAACTGAACTTGTAACCGGGATGACAACATAGCATCACAACCTATCGTTTGGTACAAAGTACATTAAAATATACTGTTTATTGACATATTTCTAAGCTGCGGTATGCACGTTATTTTTAGCATATCAGTGTGCAAATTCAAGGTTTTAAAAAAAAGTCACCATACAGGAGAGTCACACGGAGACGACCAAATGTTTGAGAATGTTGTACCAAAGCTTATGTGTTCAAATAGAACAATGCCATAGGCCGTTTCTTTAAACCATGCTTGGTCGATTATTTTTGACAGCCTTCGAACGATCCCCCCTGAATAGGAGAGGGTTATCATGTAAATATAATAGTTGTTTTCTTCCTTATCCACTTCAACCATTTTGTGTTCTATCTGTATCTGTATTATCTTCTGTTTTTTATTATTTTTGTATTGAACTTGTATTTTCATATAAATTCAAGGTAAGGTCTGGGTGGGAGGTAGGAAGGGATGCTTGTTGAAGAAAAGTAAAAAAAAACATTTATTTGATTTGTAATACTTGCATCTGTCCTTCAGTAACAAGAAAAAAACAAACATTTATTTCTAAAACAGAACAAGGCCATTTGGCAGATGCTACAGGGTCATTGTGGTAGAGCTTTCTGAATCTCTTACACAAGAGAAACATTGCTTATCTCCAACATTAGGAACATGATTATTCAGATGCACCAGGACACAGATATGACTTAAGGTGACATTGTTTCTGGAGTTTTACCATCAGCACCTTTTAAGTGTTTATTGGCACTTTTAATTTGTTGGACTGCACTATGTTGTTTGAAATATTGGGGGCATGGGATTTTGATGAGTATTTTGTGAGACATCGATATGTTGGTACAGTCAATAGGTCATATTGAAGACCTATGGGAGTCACTGCACTTGACCAAGAAATAACTGCTCATTTAACAATGAATGGCCATTTTAATAATTCACTGTTTGTACTTAATAAACAAACAAGGTATAATTATTTGGAATTAGAGATAAGAAGTGCTGGTTTCTTAACCCCCTTTCAACCTCTATGATACAAATAATCACACTGTGTTCTGGCTGTATGTATTTGATGGACAGATATGAGAGTGCTATGGATTTCATCTCAAACATCCTAGATGTCAATCACTAACACATGACAATCACCGATATATTATATGATTGGATTAACAAACATAAATATATATATACATATATATTTTTTTTTATTATCGATGTATTTTATATTTACGATTTCAAAGAGATCATTTACGGTTTGTTAGCCTATTGTGATTGAATGCCTTTTTAAAAGAGCTTGTAATGTGATTTATTTTCGTAACCTCATTCCCCGGCACCTAGATATGAACCAATAATGACTTCTTTACTTTCACCCTTTATCTACATTGAGTTCAATACATCTGACCCAAGTTAATGGCATCTGCTACACAGTACATCATACTGATACAGTAATTATAATGGTTCATTCTCCTTTTTTAGTTCATTAAAGTTTTTTTGGCCCAGGACCCATTAGAAAATGATGGCAAAAAGAAACTACAGCAGATCGATGTTCCTTCA